GATTATTCGGCTACCACCTTTCCTCGGAGGGGCCTTCAGATGCTTAAAGGCAGCGGACAGGCAAAATGGACCCCTGTCAGATTTTGGTAGTTTCGGGTAGTGGACCCCCCAAGTACACCGTAGCCCCAACCTCACATTCCAATTCATGCGCTAAGTCCTGAAAAAAGCGCTTCAAAACTCCACCAGCCCCGCCCACTTGCATTGAGTGGGCGTTATTGGTGGAAGTTTGAAGCGCTTTCTTCAGGACTTAGCGCATAAATTGGAACTTGGGGTTGGGGCTACGGTTTACTTGGGGGGTCCACTACCCGAAACTACCAAAATCTGACAGGGGTCCATTTTGCCTGTCCACTGCATTTAACGTTGACACCAAAAAGACATAAAAACATACCATTTTTGAGCTTACAATTGAATTGTTTTCGAAAGGTTTTAGCACTGCAGGTAATCTGCGGGAGCCATAGTATTCTATTTATACATGTCGCAAAATTTTTGAGCTGTTTTTTAAGCGCTCAAACCCATTCAAGGCGCGGCATAACATAGTTGTCGAAAATGGGATTTTCGTCATTTCAGATTTTTCGGTTTGTAATCGATTTTTTTGTTCAACTTTTTAAAAACCGGGAATATAATGATAGCATTTTGGTAGACTTAGAGCTTCCGAATGCATACTAACACCATGCCAAATGTTTTGTAAGATACTGAGAAAAATTTGAAACAAAAAATGCGAACGAACTTAATACACAACCTAATATATTTTCTGAAAGCGGAGGACGAGCCGGTTTCAATGGTGACCATCATGGCGTACAAGATGTTCATCTACAGAAATTATGAATTTTTTCATGTTGAAAACTCGAAAATCTCCAAAAATCACTAGGACACCCTTCATCCAGGCACTTTTTATAACGGACCCTAGGCAAAGTATATATTTTCTGAAAGCGGAGGACGAGCCGGTTTCAATGGTGACCATCATGGTACAAGATGTTCATCTACGAAATTTATTATTTTTTACGTTAAGAGCTCGAAAATTCCCAAAAATCAGTTGGCACACCCTTCATCGCACTTTCTTGAACGGATCTCAGATATGCTATATGCTTTCTGAAAGCGGAGGACGAGACGGCTCCAGTGGTGACCATCTCGCCGTAAAAGATGTTCATCTACAATATGAATTTTTTTATGTTAAAAACTCCAAAATGTCCAGAATTCACTACTCACACCCGTCACCAAGCACTTTTTTCAACAGACTCCTCCATTCCTGAACATAAACAATTCACGTACAAATAGCTCCTTTGCCTAACCTTACCTCACTGTTGATTTTTTTCTCGGCTTTTGGTGAAGGGGGTCACCTTGGTCCCGGCTCAGGGGTGAAGAGGGGGTGAGAAAATTCTCACACTATCGCACCTGTGTTGCGGGGTGGGGCACGTACGTGACTCAATGCCATGAGTTTTAGCGCAGGAGGAATGCTATTAGATGATGTACTGTTGAAGCCACGTTGCGGCGCTTCGCGAAAAATTTGCGCCGATCGTACCTCCTGACCGTTCCCCAGGGAATAGCAGTACAGTAATCTTGCTGACAACCTATAGTATCTACCCCAAAGCCAGTGAGTAATGGCCCGGATTGGACCGGGAAAGTCATCTAGTAAAAAATAAATTCGAGATTTGAAAACATTCGAGCGAATGAATTCCGAATAAAATCGCAAAATCAAGAATATCGAATGAATGAGCATCGATTGTATTCAAACATTAAAAAGTCGAATTTTGATTAAATAACCGAATGATTCATCGAATATCTAGAGCAACCATATCTAAAACTTGCTGACATACCCGTCTGACCGATTTATTCATACTCACACCCCCTATACAGCTGAGCCCCTAATTCGGGTTGAGAAGACGGTCTTCGACGTATTGATCTTGACGAAACCATCGAAAATCCATGACTTTGTTCAAAACGAGTTTAAGTGATCGATTATGATATTTGAAAAAAAAATTTCTGTAAGGAAACACCGAAATTCACCGAAAATTTACAATTTACTCTTATAGAAGGTTTTAGTAAATTACCTCGACAGACCGTCGCGGCGATGAAACCCCTCTGCATGTAAACTAATTCTGAATATTCAATGGTTTTCCAAATTATTGTGAAATTTCCTTTCTAAATATCATGATCCGACGAGATTGCCGTTTCGAACGAAGTTATGGATTCCCGACGGTTCGTCAAGATTGATACGTTGGAGGCAGTCTTTTCACCCGAATTAGGACCTCAGTGTGCCATTCAATTTCCCAAAATCAGTAAAATCGATAAAGTGAATTTTATTCATAATCAGCACCCTCACTCCCCCCCCCCCCTGTTCCGACTCCCAGCCTTGTAGCTCGAGTTTTTCCAAAAATCGGTAAAATGAGTTTAGATTTTTATTCATAATCAGCCGTCATTTACCTCCCTATACCAACTCCCAGCTCCTAGAACAAAAATAAATCAGCACCGTCTAATTATCTACTACAATCGCAATGTCCTTTACTCAAAATAAACTCGTCCACGAACAATCTCTGAAAATAGAATTGAGGCATTGTGCAATGTAGTTTTTACTAGCAAGAATGCTTACTAGTGTGGATCCTTGCGGATCAAAACCATGATCATGCCAAAGGAAACACTCCTGTCAGCATGTTTCCTTTCAGTATATGAACTCGGAGCGCGAGCTTGAAGTCGATAGATGTTTGCTTGCTGATTTGCTGATTTGATGCCAATAGTAGTGCGAACTCTTGATATCGAAAAAGCGATCAATCAAAATAAACATCTAATTTCAAACCGTCGCAAGGAATTGGAATGCGATTTTCCATACAGTTCAAAGGTGATCACGGCTGCAAAGAGATGCATTATCGAGGTTTGCTGAAAGAAGCGAGTTTGCTTCAAATTCTATTCGAATCCTCGCTTTTTGATTATTCGAGTTTCGAATTTCATTCGAAACCCCGTTTTTTGATTGTTCGAGTTTTGATTACTATTCGAAAATGGAGAAATTCCGCATGTCGCATTTCGAATGCAAATATATTCAAATGTTTTATACGAATGAACGAATTTTTTATTCGATTCGGTCCAAGTAAACTCCACACCATCTGATTGTGTACTCCCAAACTTATTTTTTAGCACCTTATTCGCTGAAGCTCCAATAACCACTTTAAACGCTCATAACTTCTTGAGGACGGCGTAGCAGATATGAAAGGTGGATTTGAAATCAGCTCAACGAGACAAATCTAATGATATGCATGTGATTCCAGATTTCCCCGCCGTTCTGATATCCTTCCCCTGTTAGAAGACATAAGAGATCTGCTGCGTTTTTTCGAAGTGATAAAATCTTAACCACTACAATCATTAACCACGGCAGAGGTATGCTTAGGAACTTCGGCTGCCTGGCCACTTCGCGCTAGGTGTAAGATGATCTATCGGTACCCTGCTCTAGCTAATTTAACGAATAATAAAGTGCCCCCGACTCTTGCGTCTTAGCAAATGGCTAGGGGCCGTGACTCAAAAAGCAACTATATACAGGGTGTCCCAAAAAGATGTGCACACTGTTTGATCGTTAATAACTCTCTTGCTTTCATGTCTTTTGTCGAGCTTAAAGTATCATTCTATAGAGCGAGGTTCAACTTAGATTTGCAGAATGGAGCGAATCATCGATCGCTCTTCATTACTGTAAGATTACGGTAGGAACTTCGAAGAGGGTTTTAAGCCATTAAAGGGCGCAGTTTGCCTCAGAAGAAAACAAACAAGCCAGAAACTCTTAAACTGGGCTAGTTGAAGGTGCTGATTCTAAATATGAAGTTTGCACTTTAATATGCTGCTCCTTTCATAAGTTATTTCAGATTTAGAGTAAAAACTGTTTTCCCAGTGTTCCTCAAAAATGTGAATACGCGAACAAGAAAGTTCGAAAAATTGATGAAAAGTTATGTACTGAAATCAGCACGCCTGAAAACCCTAATACACACATTTTCAGATTTTTTTGAAATTATTTTGCCATAAGGCCTATTCCACAGTGACGCTGTATGTTGGAAGTTCATATCGTAATCCTACAGTAATGAAAAGTGATTGGTGATTTGCTCCACACTGCAAATCTAAGTTGAACCTCGCTCTACAGAATAGTACCTTGAACTCGGCAAAAAACCTGAAAGCAAGAGAGTTATTAACGATCAAACAGTGTGCACATCTTTTTGGGACACTCTGTATATCTTACATAAGGGCTAATGGAGTGGAATCGGTAACTTTCCTTTTGAGTAGATCCGGTAACGGTGTCGTGTACCAATCAACACGAACTCATCGGCTTCGGCTTTTCCTTTGTTTGTAGTATACTCTCCAATAATCTGCTTTGCATGTTTACCAATAACCTGATTAGCTCCGCATGCTGTACTTTGTACAGCTTAAAACTCACAAACGGAAGCAGCCCTGGAGTATTTCAAAGTCTTTGCAATTTATCCTCATTCGATCCAATGATGCCCCTTCTTTCCTTTTCTGTATTTTATCGAAATTAAAGATTCTGTATTTTATCGAAATTAAAGAGAGGTTTGCTTTCGCGCTAGTGCGTTTATCTCCACACATAGTTCAGAATTTCCTGTCTATAGCGCAAATCGGACTGCACTCATTCGCAGCGGCTACCCCCGTCATTATAGCGGATGCCGCGGGTGCGCACGAAACTGAACCTAATAAGTGCACTTTGTCTGCAGATCTGGTTAAAGAATCGCCATAATTCTTCAATCCTTTCATCAAAGAACTTCATTCAAGACAGAAAAATTATAGCTTTTATTTTGAGGTCGTGGTTGTGAGAACAATGAGCAGAAAATTACAGATATCACTCCTAATATCCAGGAGCTGTTCGAGGTGGAGGGCAGTGATCGCAACCGCCACCGGCACCAGTTTCTCCGAGAGGTCCTTGTTCGCCGGGTGCTCCGGGATTTCCGGGGGCTCCGTCGCGTCCTGGGTCTCCGGGAGGTCCTTGTGGTCCGTCTTGGCCGGGTTGACCAGGTGCTCCAGGTTGTCCGTCTGGTCCTGGCGGTCCGGGTGGTCCTGGAGGTCCAGCTGGGCCGTCAGGAACTGGCACTTCTTCAACGACTCCTGGTGGACCTTGTTGTCCTGGTTGACCTGGTTGTCCATCGGGACCGGGTGGTCCCTGTGGTCCGGGAGGTCCTGGCTGCCCTGGTTGGCCATCTGGTCCTGGTTGTCCATCGGCTCCTGGATTTCCATTAGGTCCCTTAGGTCCTGGATTTCCGGGAGGTCCTGGTGGTCCTGCGGGACAGTCAAAGCAGAAGTCATCGGCAGTGGGTACTGCATCTGGAGCAGCATCGGCACCAGGCTCTCCATTGGCTCCAGGAAGACCGTCTTTGCCATCTTGTCCATCAAGTCCAGGTGGACCGGGAGGTCCAGCCAGACCAGATTTGCAGCTACAGCAAGTGCCTCCTGATGACCCGCCGTCTACGCCGGCATCACCACCACCGCCGGTGTATCCGGTAGTTGGCGCATCGTAACCAGCCTGACGCTTGACAATTCCTCCTCGAACTCCCTTAATTCGTTGCATGCGCTCGTACTGATCAAAAAGACCATTCGTTCGGTGCTTGCAGAATTCGACTTCTGTTTGAAGTGATGACTGCACATGCTGCATGTAGTTGTACAGGGAGGGAATAGCGACGATTGCAGTCAATGTGGCAACGGTACTGCAAAGAAAAGTATGTTCAAACGGAATAGGAAAGCTGCTAGACAAATAAAAATGGATATGGGAATAAAAGTACCTGATACAAATGCCGAAAAAGGCGATGCGGCGAAGGCTTTCCGCCTCATGCCATAGCTTCTTCTCGTCGCTGCTATCGGAGGAATACATACCGATGTCATCAATATGTTCGCACTGCGCTTTTATACCTTTGCGCTGTCCCGCCTCCTTCTATCGGTTTACCGGTCCACGCGAGAGATTCTCGAGGCTTATTACCTAACTTTAGGAGGCTACTCAGGGCAATCAACTCCACGCTTTACGTCATTACTGCGCAGACGCAGTTGTTACTTTCGTTAACGCACTTTTCTTAATGAGTGAACGAGGTCCGTCGCGGGTCAGCGGTAATTGCTGCGTTCCGGGATCACGTCAATCGCTCATTTGGAGATACAACAAAAAACTTGAAGTGTGAACTTTCTTTTAGGTCACAATAAGTGGATGGAAAATTGGAAATGCTACAGACTGACACTTCCCGAGGTGTAAATGTTTCAAAATAAACTTTACCAAATCTAAAGGTGAATGACACCGAACAGCAACGATTTCTTCGCTGGATAGTTTTTTAGAAATCTTAATCTCTACAGCATTGTTTATTGATTTTGTAAATCTATTGAAGACAAGAGTTGTTAGGTTGACCGACGGAAACTAGGTGCGCAAGGGAGAGACGAATCAAAGGAAAAGTGCATTTCTATCATACCACTGATGACCCTGCAGTAGTGGCAGCTGTTCATTATTCATCTGTTTTATGATTGGAAAGGGAAATTTGTTGTAAATAGAAAAGAACAGCTATAATTCGCTTTTTTCGCTCAACGTTTTATAACTGTTTCGCAAATTCTCTGGTAGTGTTACCTAACAGTTGTTTCTACAGAACCATCTTGTACCATAATCTCCGCCATCGTTCCCCCTCTTACTGAGAGGAAGTGCAAAAGATGCCAGCGTAAAATATTTCGCATTACAACGATTTTTGAAAGAATCTAAAAAACTAACTAACAAAACTAGAACCATCTCGGACCGTCATTTGCCTATTTTTGTTATTTTATTCCTTTACAACAGATGCAACTATCTTGTGCTTACTTTTGTGTTTTTAGTGAGGGTCAAGGTGTGTAGTCTTCTTATTCTTTAGAGCTATGGATTTTTTTGCAGTCACTTGAATTTTTCTGTAATCGCAAGTAAGCTTCTTAGGCCTTAATAAAATGTCATTTTGTATTTCCTTCGTCTCTCCTCCCTATAATTGTCTAGGAAGCTGAGCTGTAGCGTACTTCTGCACTTTTCAAAAACACACTCCTTGTTTTGATCTTGATCGGGCCGCGAAATCGCCGAAAAACACGGGTTTTGCGCTTTCTTACACACTTCGGCTTTAAACAAACAATGACACGTGCTGTGTTAGATTGGTATCGGCCTCAAGGTTGTCTCAATGCTCTCGCTTTGCTTAGTTTATCATGTCACCCCCGTCGCTTTCGGTGCTGTAACGGTGCGAAACCCAGGCAAATGTAGTCCGCATATCGGTTTTTCGGATCATATACCTAGCCAAGTTCATGAGCGATGGGGACTGCGTTCCGCGAATCCATGGCTAGAAAATGCAGGTTTTTTGGCTCTTCTTCTGCAAGTCCTGTGACAAGGACAAGGCTACGGTTTGATGAGAGTGATATCTTGTCGCAGTGTTAGAGATCGACGGCACTACATAGCTGCAGCCTGCCGCTTGGCAGATACCGCCCGAGTGAAGAAATCGTGATCTTGCCCCCATGATCTCCCCTACGTGCCCCTGCGTTGGATTCGCAAATTCATGCTGTAAACACTCATATAATCTTAACTTTATCAATCCAACACACATCTCATACATCTAATAATTCACTATTATCACTTCTACACTCAGTGCACCATGATGCATCAGCGAAAGAAAATCTCAAAGTAGCCAAATAGAAGTGAACAGGAAAATTGAACTTTTTGGACCAAAACGCAACTCATAAATATTGCACCATATGAATGACCATATATCATAAGAAAACCATATAGCTCAACTGCCAGATTTTAAGAAAAGCCCACACAATGATTTGGTAAAGGTGTGAATAGGCTACATGTAGATATCCATCTGCAACAGTTGCTACTACATCTGCGTCTAAGGTCCTGCGGCATATGGCTAACATGTTAGCAACGTGCAGCAACATGTGGGCAACATGCAACAATGGGTGGCTCCGCCCTAGCACTGAAACCACGAGCAGCAAGCTTGTTGCCTGTTGCCAACACCTTGTTGCCTGTTGCTAACACGTTGCTAGACAAAGAGCACGGGTAAGTTGTGAAAGGGACGGTAATTACCACCATCCAGGCTCTATTTATCCACCTAGTTACTAAGCATATCGCAAAAACTTTTGCCCAAGTTTTGATGATCATAAATCAAAGCGAAGAAGTCAAGAAGCAATCCAAGTCGTAAAATGAAATAAAGCCGGCGCAGTATAAGACACGACTAGACCGCTGCTTGGAGATCGCCGTGATGCTAGAGTCTGTACTCTTCGAGAAACCGAACTCTTGGGAATTTTGAATCTCAATCTCAGCTTTGCGTAGGCATATGCAATAAATGAAGAGATTATTGTATGAGGAAAAACTTGTTGGGAGGGTACGTGAATGATCGAATAATCGCGAGGCTGGGAACTTTGGAAAAAGTTGAAAAAATCAGGCAGAAGAACTTGATCTTTCGTAGCAAAGGATCATTCGAAGATAGAGTTCATATACCTAAAGTAGAGATAGTAAGGTACATGCTTTATGTGCTACCGAGTGTTCTGAAAATTCAATATTGTCACAACAAGTATTCTTTCATTTTCAGGTTTCATGTGAGCAAATACTTGTCATTACAAACTGAAGTCTCAACTGGGTCGGGAAATTAGTTATGAATTTCGATGCATTATGTTCTAGATTTCGTAACCCACTGTTTACCTACATTGTTTATTTGCAGTCAGATTGTTCCTTTTAAAATATTTGATTGATGCAGATTGCTACGTTTACGAAGTGTAAACGCATAGATCATTTTTTCGCAACGCAGGACTTGATAACTGCTAGATAAAGGACTCATTTATCCAGCTGCAAACTCCGTCGATGATCCCAATCCGCAATGAAAACCAGCACGAAATGATCTATTACCATGTTTTTGCAAAATCCTTTTCCTCGCTAGTTTGGAATGGACACGAATACGATAATATCTTGTCATCAAAAGTGTCATTGATGTACATGTTCCTATGAGGTTGGGCACCTTCTCCTTCAACATTTTGCACTGCTCCACCTAATCTTTTATTGACTCGCGCTTTTACTGACTCGCATGTCCACATAGTTTCATATCAGCTAGTATATTAGCTAGTACACAAATCGTCTTCATCACTTTTCCTCTCAACTGAGCGAGATGAAAATCCCGACTGATCTAATCAGTCGGACGTCCAAGGAGAAAAGAATAATCTTGGTCGGCTGGTGTGACATCAGCTGATATTCTATACCGCTGTAGCTGATTTCTCTAGTCCTTAATTCATCATCAGTGCTAAAATTATCAAAAGCTTATTAGTCACTCCTATTTTCATCCACATATCGGGTTGTTCAAGGGTAATCCCATTTATAACTCAATCAAGATTCTTTTTGCATTCGAGAAGACTTAGAGCTTAGTAATCGATAGAGCGAAGCGAGCTTTAGAGTAACCACAAATATTCATGTAAGTCATCATCCAGTGAAAGCTTGGAGTCAGAAAATAAATAATCAAACTGAATAAATTAAGTTAAACTGAACTTAATCAGTCTGAAAATCGGATCTGCTTGCAGAAGCTTCCAACTCTCCCCGCTTGGTCATCGTACACTAGGTACGTTATAGAATTCAAAGGAATCCATCGGATGTTATACGTGGCGCTGAAGAAGAAATAGAAACAGCTCGAAGAACCCGAAGCCAACTTTTTCACACTTGTTATTTCTCGATTACCAAGGCACATACAAAGGCAAAATTTCAAGGTAGTACTTCACAACTGCGTAACAATCACGTTTGCGTAAGAGTTGGGAACGAAATTTGCCATCTTTGAGCTATCCTTGTTCCTCAAATTCCATGCTCGAAATTCAGCAAGCACATGTATGAATACAATGGGTACAATGTATGAATACAATAATACAATGGGTTTACTATGACAGTCTATTCGGAGCTTCGTACGATTTTTGCGAAAATTAGGTCATCAGATAACACGTTTTTTTATTTTGGCTTCAAAATGTACATGACTAAAGACTTAGGGGGTCTTCGGTGACGTTTTGAAGCTTCGGTGACGTTTTGAAGTCTTGCTTTGCTCTGTTAGGTGCCCTACATTTGTTAGGAAATCAAAAACTTTGGGACAACCTATCAAATCTTCTAAAGATATCCCTCGCGAATGTCTCCTTCTTCTGCCTCACTAAGCTAAATAATACATGCTTATGTTTAAATCTAAGCATGGAAAGTCGTGTTTGAATACAAATAAGTCGAGATCCTATTGTAGCGTATGTGAAGTACATTGCGAACTTTATAGGGTGGGATTCTGCAAAGTCTCGTCTAAGCCAGAGCGTAATAATGAATCACATCCGTTTCCGCCGTGTGTTTTGTGCTTGCAGCCATCGTAAAGGGTATAATGTTTGGTGTACGATAGCTAAGATTGGAGAGTGTAGGGCGGAAGGTCTATAGGAGAGTTCACTTATTGTGACGAGAGCTAGATTCAAATGTGCTGCCACATCCAGCTGAATAAAGCTTAAGAACAACTGTCTACAGCGCAAATACGCGCAGAAAATCATGCGCTTCTCAACATTGTCTTCCAGCTCATTAGATGCTCAATACAGGGTGTTCAAGAAAATGTCCATATTGTTCAAATTGAAACATCTCTCTTGTTCTATGTTCCTGCCGCTTTGGGTCGACAGTTCAGACGGTCTTATCAGGTTTCGAGAGTTTAACATACTGTTTCAATGATGTGGCCTGTTCTCCGAGCAAATTTTTAAGGTAACATGCAATACTTATTCAAAATCAGTTTTGGTGTAAAATTTAATTTCAATGCTGCAAGCTTTCTGCACATCCTACCGTTCTACAACGAAGAGAGATCGGTACTCTGCGCTATGATGTACCCTTTGATTCAAATATCT